TGAAACAAGCAATGCAAATATACCTCCACCCGCTACTTCATCTAACGGTGCACAGAGGGGTTCTAGTGATGGTAAACACGAACCTGTGGGAGTGAAGAGGGCCTCAGATGAAGGCAGGGAGCCTGTAAGCCGAGGGCCTGTGACAGTTTCTGTCATAGATGATTTATTATTTCTGCAGGTGTGCCCACAAATCCTTTTCTATTAAGCTGCAGGCATGCAAGACTTAATCAAAGAGCCCGAGTTGGCAAAGGCCCATGGGCCCAAGATGTTAGGTGGCCACAGGACCAACAACTTTGTTTAAGTAATAGTTGACAGTTCTTGTTGAAAGGTCATTTCGATGAATAATCACAAAGAGACTTAAAAAATATAACAGAGTTACATAAAGACATTTACAAAGAGATTTGAAATGTCCCAGAGGGACAGAAAAAAGTGGAAAGAAGCTCAAAAGAACCACAATGGTCAGGTTTCTCTGCAAAAGAAATGCAAAATTACTGCTACATGATACAGACCTAAGACACCACTATTTAATGCAAACTGCAAAAAAACGCTTGCCTAATGTTTTTCTTTTCGTGACTCTTACATCTGTGTGATTGTTGGAGACCTTTTTACCGGCCTGTGCCCCGGAGACTTTGGGTTCATCATCCATCTGTGACTTCAAGGATGGTTTTGGGTTACTGAATGTCTCCTTTAGCTGTGCAGTGTTACCCTTGAACTCCATTTATCTTCTGTGTTCCAGTACAAGTTCAGCAGATTTGAACGTGCTGCGAGAGACATGCAGAACTACAGACATGACTACCCTGTAAGTCTCACACACTGTAAACACACACTCTCATGTTTAAGCACAAGCAAAGCACATGTTGTTCTTTTATGTGTCCCTGCAGAGCCAAATCAAGACACAGCACAGGAAGAAGAACACAAATGTATGTACATACACATTTATTGTTACACTTACTTGCTTTGTTTTTAATTTTTTTTTAAAAGTGAACTGTCAGGTCAAATTCTTTTCTCTTGAGTAGGACGACAAGCCTAACCTGAATTTCTACCTTGGAAAGAAACGATCGGTGCCAGACGGTAGGCCTTTTACCAGCACCCAAATGTCCTTAAACTGAACATAACATAAATGTGTTTTCATTCGAGAAAAAGAGTTTAGTAGATCTGTTTTGTTATTCATCTCATCTTTTCCAAGTATTCAAAATATCTTCATGACATTGGAATAACTTCAGAGACCTGAAGAAGAATACCATTTCACACAAGGACATGGAGTCAGAAAAAGATATTTTTATAGTACAGAAATATCAGTTTGAGCCACCTCAGTGATCACTGGATAAATCTTAATCTGTGCAGCTTCATTTACAAACAGATTTATTTGCTGTGACTTGTATTTGTTACCAGGTGTCAGCATAACTGAGTTCCATAAAAACTGGTATGGAGACTATGAAAGACTTGAGCACATGCAAACCTATATTCAGTGGTAAGTTACTCTATAGTCACAAATATGATGTAAAAAGTTCAGTTCCAGTTTGTAACGTCATTTTCTCTCAAAGGTTGTTCCCACTGCAAGAACCAGGAGTGAACTATGAGGCCAGTACACTGACAAAGGAAGAAATTAGGGTAAACCTGTGAAAGTTACCAAGTTATAATTTAAAATTAAAACATGTCTTATACACTGATAGAGGTTCGATGTTTCCTTCAGGATTTTCTTGATCACAGCATTGCAAAGGAAAACCTGCTGAAGTCGTACGAGCTCATGTTGGACTTTTATGGTATCGTGTTGTGTGATGAAAAAACTGGAGAAGTCAAGAGAGCAGAGCACTGGGAAGAAAGATTTGACAACCTTAACAGGTAAAACTACCTCTGAATTTTAAAAAAATCTGTGTGCAGTAAAAGTGACAAAAAGCTGTAAATGATGTAATTTTGGGACTGATCACTGTCTGACAGTCACACACACAACAGCCTGCGCATCACTCGCATCCTGAAGTGTCTGGGAAACCTGGGTTACCGTCACTACCAAGCCCCTCTGGTCCGCTTCTTCCTGGAGGAGACTCTGGCCAACGGACAACTTCCAAACATCAGGGACAGCGTCCTCAGCTACTTTATGTTTGCTGTACTTGATAAGAAAAAGCGCAGACGTCTCATCAAGTATGCATATTTGAACTATGAGCTTAAAGATGAGTTTGTGTGGTGCCCAAAGAAAATCCAAGAATTGTGGTCAAAG